TCTGTCTGCTCCAAATGGATTTAAAAGCAGCATATCTCCACTGTTGGACTCAGCAGGTTTCTCTGCATCTGTTCCTGGGTTTGAGCTCATGTCAGGTCCAGAGCCCTATAAAGAGAGAGTTGCGACACTCCCATAGACTCCCATAGAAAGAATGGAATGCGGAAGTCACGTGGGTCATGAAGCGGCAAAGAGTTCCAAACAGCAGCGGGTTCAGCATTGAACGTAGTTCATTTTCCGTGTTTTTCCGGTAAGTTGATGCAAATACGACACTTTTTCTCCATTGTGAAGCGTTATCTGACTGTTCTGTACCTCAATTTATCAACATTAATACTTCATGTCACCAGTTTTAGTTAATGAAACATGTTAAATTACTAGTTGTTTTTTAACTGCAGCTGCTCTGCAACATGACGGTTTAAACGGGTCTATTTCTAATTCAACGTTTTAAAATATCTATTACTGCTTAAATTTTGAAAGGTGGTCTTTTTTAAATTTATGGTAATTCCAGTTACTGAACTCAACTAGAAAATATTTGGCCTTTTTTTCCTGAGAGATTCATTCAAGCTTTATTTCTACAGGTAAATCTCATTGAGCCTCGAGGACTCATTTACAAGAGAGACCTGATTTAGCAAAGAATGATGACAACATGACAACAAGACTGACGTCATTTAGTTAAAGTTATAGATCATTTGTCAAAGACTGCAGCATAAATTGTGACATTATCATTAAAGAAAAACGTAATTGTGGAGATGAGTCAATGTTTTCATGTTTTCCAGGTAAACCACAGGAGAATGACTTCATGAACTGAATGTTGCATTCAAAGTATCAGAAAGGTACAAGATCTCATTTTCTGTCTTCTATTAATCAATAACAGCTGAATCAAGATGTTTGAATAAAATTACTTTAACACCATAACCTTCACAAAGTTGGTATTTACAGCAGGACTGTTAATTTACATTAGTTTTATATTATTAGTTTAGTGTTTGGTAATCATGGGTCAAGTTGAGATGAGACTCTTTCAAGACAGAACAAGAAATAAGAATTATTACAAGAATATATCAGCATCAATAAACTGTAGGACAGTAACAAAACACTTATTAAACTATCACAGGTACATTGAGATGGAGCTGGAAGTTATTCTTCATGCCAGTTGTCTTCATCTGATCTTTTGTAAAAATATGTCAATTTATTTTCCATTAACATTTTTCTTCACAGGACTGAGTTAATTTTCTTGTCTGTGAGTTTCTTCTGTCCTGCTTATGTATGTTTTTGTGTTCTAATTGTTCCCTCAGGTTTTTCTTCTCTGTTCCCTGACTGCCTGTTGATCCATCCTCCTGGTCCTGTTGATCCATCCTCCTGGTCCTGTTGATCCATCCT